CATCTGCCCCTCCCGCCCCCCGTGCCGCCCCCCACTGGCACACCTCCGGCCACCGAGCACAAGAAGGGGCCGTCGCTGACCTACGGGACGATCAAGATCCTGCAGAGCTCACACGCACACCATGCCCAGCCGCCGACGCCCCCGGCCCCGCCGCCAGAGGAGTTGCGGAAGCAGCCACCAGCTGCAGCTGGAGCTGGGGACAAAACAGCCAAGAAGGGGCAGTGGCAATACCCCCCTTGCCCACCGCCACTGCCCCCGTCACAGCAGAGGGACGGCAAGATGGCGGCTGCTGGTGGGGGTGCGAGGGCGGAGGCGCTCCTGGGGAGCGGACCACAGCAGCACCAGCACCACCATCAGCACCATCAGCAGCAGGGGCGGGGCTACGGGAAGGTTTGGGCCAGTGTCCTCCGGGATGCAGCCAATGCAGGTACCTACACCCAACCGGAACACCCAGGCACACATAACATACCCGCTGCGGCACATTCCCCATTTGATGGAAAACGTCTTGTGTGGCCATGCATGTTATGTTTACAGATTTCTCGCCCCCTCACCGAGGCCACCCGGCCCTCCCCGCGCCACCGCCCAAGATCCTCCAGCTGCAACCCAGACCACCCCCACCGCCCACACCCTCATCCACTCTCACCGCGATCACCACTGTCAACGAGAGCCTCAAGACCGCATATCGCCCAGACAAAGCCAGCGCCAGCGCCACCGCCAACACCAACACCAACACCAACAACGGCGGCAGAGAGGGAGGCGGCCTGCTCCGGACACCCGACTTCCCGTCACGCACAGAAGTGCGGTCACAGGCGCAGAGGGCCACCGACCCCCCGCTACCTCCCAGAATGGACTTGGGCATGCAGGCGCCTGTGGCTGACGAGATGGAGAGGCGCGAGGCGGCCAGGACGATCGTGCAGACCGTCACCACACGTGCGCAGGGGTCTATAGCAACCGGGCGGTTCAAGATTCAGAACCGCCCCGCCAATCCCCCTCCCAGACGACCACCATTCAACCCTCCAGCACCGATGGATGATGCGGGAGGTGGTGACGACCAGGCCAGCGACGGGCTGCCTGCGGTGCCCTTTTGGTTCGAGGGGCAGTTTCACCCGGCGCCGCCGAGCGATGGCGGGAGGGATGAGGAAGTGAGGGGCCGGGAAGACTCGCCCAGCACGGCCGAGTTCCCGCCATTGAGCAGCGGGTGGCACGACAGAAGAAGGGACGGTCGCCAGGGGCAGGAACGAGACGTAAGTCGATGGATGCCGGACACGCACAGATACACACCGAGAGAGAGAGAGACCACGCACTCTTTGATCGATCTGTGCTCATTCATGTCTTTCTTTGCTGCTTCCCTTGTGTTGTGCGCATTCATTCGTGCCAGCCGTCTTTGCTGGTCCGTGCCATGACGGACTTCTCGACAGATCACCCGCCGCCCGCCCCCGCCCCTCCGCCATACGATTCCCGGCCGCCCCCGCCACGGCCTCTCTTGCCCCATCAACCACCATACTACGGTGCCTTCAACCACCCTGCTGCCCTCAAGCCCACCGACCCAGCGACACCCCACGGCAAGGTGTCCTTCTACGGCGGCCCCCCTCAGGTGCCATACTACGGCTTGCCAGGGCACCCCCACCACCCGGGCCATGCTCGTGTGGGCATCCAGCCGTCAGTGGAGGGATTCCGACTGCCGGGTTCAGCTGGTGGTGGCGGCAAGAAGAACGCGCGAGGGAGGAAGGACCAGGGCCACAGCCAGGGTGACGACGGCAAGGGGGCGGGGGGCGACAAGGCTGTCAGACCCGGATTGCTCAAGACTCCTGACATTTCCCCCGGGACAGTGCCACTGATGGGGCCACCTCGGGAAGCACATCGGCCTCCCATGCGGCCGTCGCAGCCCCCGCCACCGCACTTCGGACAGTCTGCTGTGCACTACAGGAAGACCAACCACCCTCAGCACCAGCACCCTCACCATCAGCAGCAAAGGGGTGGAGGTAAACCTGCCGCAGCCCCCCCGCCACCCCCTCCCCCCGTCAACACCAACACGTCATCATCGGGCTCGTCTTCGGTCAACACAGAGGTGCAGCTCACGCCTACTGACACCAACAATCACAACAGCAGCAGCAAGGAGGACAACGGGGAGGGTCAGGCTCAGCAGGGTCAGGGGGGGGTGGCGCAGCCCGCCCAGCCGACCCTTGCTCGTCAGGTGATGCGCTGGACCAAGGTGCCTCCGGAAGCGGCGGCGACGGGCAACAGCAGCAGGAGGAAGCAGCACAAGGGCGAGAGGGGCAAGGCAAACAGTGCGGCAGATCACAAGAATGGTACCGTCGCGCCTCCTGTCTTCACCAGTCTGCGAGAGGACTTCCGCGCCAAGCAGCCGCAGCCTCAACACCAGCAACAGCAGCCACAGCCACAGCCCCCAGCTGACAGCCAGACTCCTGAGCCTGCCATTCCCCCTGCTGCTCCACCTGCTGCTGCTGCACGGACAGAGGCGCAGACCCAGGCCCACCCACAGCCGTCCCCCGCAGCGTCGAGCAGTGCCAGCCAGGGCAGTGGGTGGGGTCTGCAGCAGCTGTTAAAGTTGGGCCAGGGCATGTTCTCGGCGCCCCGACGGCCGCATGCTGCCACGACAACCACGGCGCGCCAGCAGGACGACGCACAGGCACAGTCACAGGCCGGGCGAGCAACTTCTGGTGGTGGTGCGGGTGATTCGGGTGAGGGCGAGAGGGCCAAGGGAGAGGGGCAGGGGAAGAAGCAGGTCAACGGCAAGGAGGCAAACTGACTGACTCGACTCGCATCCCAACCCATGATGGGTGGGGTGGGGAGGGGTGGGGTGGGGGATGGGGTCTTGCTGTCTTACTCTCCTGGAGAAGGGTAAACAAAGGGCAGGCAGGCAGGCAGGCAGGCAGACAGGCAGGCAGGATCTTCGTTCGGGTGAATGCACGTGGGCTGGTCATTCATTCTCCGCTACTGACTATGTATCTTGTTCCGATCCGATCGGTGCTACTTACTCTCTCTCACTGTCTGTCTGTCTGTCTGGAGTTGCTGGCGTGTGGCGCGGGATTTTTTCGGTGTTATCCATCCATCCATCCATGCATGCTGCAATGCATTGCGTGCACTGCACGGGTGGGGTGGGGTGAGTGGGTGGGCAGACAGACACAGGCGCGGAGAGAGAGAGGGGAGGGGAGGGGAGGGGTGCGGGGGAGAGAGATGCAATCCAAAGCTAGTGACTGTGTGACCGAATATATGTGGGGGGTGTGTGTGTGTGTGTGCGTGAAATACCATTTCCATGACGCATCTATCCTGAGCGTATTGATTGCATCCAGGGCTGGCTGGCTGGCTGGCTGGCTGTGTGTCTGTCTGCCTACCTACCCACTCTCCCGTGTCCACAGGACGGGGCGGGACGTGCCTGTCTGTCTGCCTGAGTCTATTGCGTCGCTCAGTTTTGCTTGCTGTCCGTCCGTCCGTCCGGCTGCCGGCCTCCTTCCTTCCTGTTGATACCATACCCGTTGTGATGCGCATCCGTGTGCTATGCTATTTAATCGACCCCTTCCTTCCTTGTGGCTGCCTTGCCTTGCCTTGCCTTGGGCTTGCTGCCGGGCTGGCTGGTGGCCTGGCGTGGCCTGGGTAGTGGCATGGGGCGGACGTGACGTGAAGTGCTGTGATGACCGGTTGGGGGCTGGGGAATTGCATATGATTACCATGAGTGAGGTGAGACAGACGAGGGAGGAGGAGACATTCATTGTCTGTCAAGCGGGCGGGCGGGGGCGGGCGCGGCGCGGCCGCCCTCTTCTCTTATCCTTGTCTTCTCTCTCTATCTAGTCCTATCTATCATCGACTTGGCTGATTATTGATTGATTGGCTGGCTGGTGTATCAGATACAGCTTGTCTGCCTCGAGTCGACCTTGCAGGCGTGCAAGCAGACAGACAGACAGACAGACAGACCGGCCCACAGCGGTTTGGTTCTCTCTCACTTATAATATCGTTTTTGCGTGCATACGTGTGTGTTGTGTCCTCCATCCTCTTGACTTGCCTGACTTGCTCATGCGGCTCGATCGCGGCCCTTTTTAAGACAAGAGGAAGGAAGGAAGACAGACACATCACTGACACCGATCAGTGGTGGTGGGGCGGTTGACATGAGGTGAGGCACTCACTGGCTGCGTGCATTGATTGCATTTGGCCACGGACGGACGTGATTGATGCCCACCGAGATGACTGATTGATACCCGACCGGGTGGGGTGGGGTGCTTTGTGTGTGTGTGAGTGCGTGTTTTACTGCCTCTCCTGACCGTTTTGTGTGAGCAAACGACCTGGCTGATGATTCGGGGGCGGTGGGCTGTGG